AGTATTAAGACTTTATTAGTAAAGAAGTATAAAAACTTCTTGCGAACATCTTTTTTGTGTGTGATCAGAGGATCAGCGGAAAGAGTTTTTATGTATGTTTAAGTTGAATATTTATAATAAGAACTATAGAAATAAATATATTTAAAAAAGATCCAAGATTTTATTTAATTAAAAAAAATTTCTATAAGCTATATTTGAAGAGTGATTAATAATAGTTACTAGAAAACTTAAGTTATTGATATGACTTATGATGATCACTAGAAGATTGATATGGAATTATATAAAAATTGAGATTATCAAAGAACAATTAACCTTCTAAGAATTGAACATAACAAGTATATTACATAATATTTGAACACATTCTATAAAAAACAGATTTCAATAAATAGGATAATACCAAAAATAGAACAATGGTTCTTCAATAATAATAATTTCCTAGAAACATTAAATGATTCAAGTATAGCAAGGTAATTGATAAAGATGGTAAGAGTTATAAGAATACATTTCATTAATTTTTCTGATTTTGCCGACCAATCATAGTGATAAGATTATCATTACGTATTTTTTAACCTTTGATTTTATGTTAAGTTTGTGAAAAATGTCAAAAAAAGAACTTATACAACAAGTGGTCAAGATAAGATGTCTCGTACCGGCAGGAAAAGCTTCTCCAACACCGCCAATTGGTCCAACGTTAGGTCAACGCGGAGTGAAAGCCATCGATTTTTGCAGACAATTTAACGAACGTACCAAGAAATATGAGACAGACGTACCAATACCCACTATCATCACGATCAATCCCGATCGTACTTTCACTTTTATCACAAGGTTGCCACCTGTTTCCTGGTTTTTGAAACGTGCCGCAGGGGTGGAGAAAGGTTCGAGCAAACCCGGCATTGAAATCGTCGGGAAAGTTAGCTTAAAACACGTTTACGAAATAGCATTGATCAAAAGTCAACAAGATAATATGGTGGATTTTGACTTGCGAAATATATGTAAATCCATCATTGGCACTTCAAGAAGTGTAGGAATCGAAATAGTACCATAATTTTAGTTGATAAAAACAATTTTTTACGCGTTAATTTGCATTAGAATTTCAATAGCAACCCAAAGGGAGAACAAGGAGGTTATTGTGAAGGCAGCGTTTAATTTATTTTTCGATAATAAATAAACCAACATATCTTCTCTAAAACTTATTTCGCTATCACCTTAGTAATGATACATTTTTTGTAATACTTTATACAATTACATGAGAATTCATGAAATCCAATCCTTTAATACTTCGGTATAATTACTAGGAAAGATGCCTCTCTTTTTTCTCTTCTCATCTAATACCTCTCCCTCCCACCAACCATCGGGATCTGTACTCAAAACGGCTATTATGTCACCTGCTGTCATTGGAATTTCATCAGGTTGTTGAGCCAAGTAATCAAACAGAGCTCTCACTGTTCATATGAAAAAATGAAAAAATGTTTAATAAAAATTGACACGGAACATTTAGTGGTAAGTTTAGATCATGAACCAAGTGAATGCTCACCGTAAAATCGAATGGGCCTTCCGTCGTCTGTTCGCTGAATCTTTTGCTCGTTGGTAATTTGTGCATAGCGTGCTGGCATCGTTCGACTGTGATATTCCGCTCTTGTGGTCGCGTAAAGATTAGGATTTGGGTAATCAGGCCGTAGTTTGTGTTGTGGAAATTGCTGAAGACCAATTGGTCCTGAAAACGTGCTTCGTCGATTCTGTAGATCGAAGGTATCATTTGAGCCAACTGTATTATTTCTCGGTATTTTAGGTGATGACATATCACGAAAAGATGATTGAGATATGATATTTGTTGGGGAAGACATGTAACTGCCAGCAGCCGGGGGTCGCCCGAAATTCACGACAGGACGAATCAGTCCTGGATGGTGATTTGCAGGATTGCTCTGCAAAGGTGCGTAACTGTTATAAGCTTGTCTGCCTGGTTGCTGTTGAATAGGGTTGATCGGCGGTAATCTTCCGTCATTTGCCACGTATGCCTCAGCGAGAACGTCTTGTACAACACGACCACGAGCATCAAGATGAATACCGATCGATTTGTTGTTAATGACTGGTGAACCTTGTTGAATTTGGTGAATGTTTGGAGAAGAACTTCTTCGTTGACCTGAATGAAAGATGACTGCCCCCTGTCGTTCAGAAATGATCGAAGAGTTATGTTGAGATTGGGTAAAAATTTGCTGAGACTGTGAAGACTGTTCACTAGAGTTGCTCGGAGATCTTCGTAAATCACCAGGGCCTTGTAGATTCGGTACCCTGAGGGGTGAGCTTTGTCGCACCGCAAGGTTTTCCTGAATTTGTTGTTGCTGTGATGAAACCGGGCCGTAGTCCGTGGACGGTCGGCACCTCAAATCTCCGGGGCCCTCTACAGGCAGTGGTTTCAAACTTTGGGTAGAAGACACTACAGAAGGTGTTCCAGATAGTTTCTGATATGACGAATAATTTGATGTTGATGAACGATGATGAACAAGTCTATGTGGGAAGGTGACGGGAGATGGAGAATTGGCCTGAGATGTTGGCGCCGATTTCGGCTCAGTTGGCTGAATGTTTTGTTGGTGAACAGGTATTTGCTGAAGAGGGTTGGACTTCGATTCGGTTGATTGATCAGGATTCAGATTAATGGGTGGATTTCTCTGCTGGGGATTTTGTTGCTGGGGATTTTGTTCGCTAGGTATGACTGGCTGAGGCTTGTCTAAATGATAAGGTTCTGGTTTCACAAGGTTATCATTTAAATATTGTGCCACTTTCGGTGTTTGCTCTACCTTTTCGCGTACTATATCATTCAAAGGTGATGGCGTTACTGTTTCTTGAACTGAAATTTCTTTCTTTTCAATGACTTCATCTAATTTACTCATGTCTGCGATAGCTTTTTCAATAATGTTTTCATCATTTTTAGTGCTACCATAAATGTTTCTTTCAACGCTCGTTTGTACTTCCAGAACATTAGAACCGACGGAAAGCATTTGCGGTCTGTTAGGATCAATAGATTCATCCATTATTTCATCGTCAGTTATATCTGGGGGAAGAGGTTTAATGGTACTGGATGGTGACATATTGGCATACAAAGAGGCCCTTTCTGACATTTTGCTACTGTAATGAGATATGTTGTCTTCTGGAAGGTAATTATATAACGCATGTTTACTTTGAGGATATTTGATTCCATTGTTTTCCGGCAGTTGTTGGCTTGGCGTCATACTTTGAGAGTGCTCTGATTCCACTTCCTCGACTCGGTTTTCATGCGTCGAATATTTATCAAAAGCGGCTCTCTTAAAACGAGAACCGTTCTCTTTCGAATCCGCATAAAAATTTACATACGCTGGTGGTTCTATATTGGGAATTTGAAAAATTAGGTTATCACTATTATTAAGTGGATACTATGTTTTTTCCTTTTATGCATCGGTTCTTCTAATTGTGAAATTTGTCATATGCACCTGGAATTTCTGGTCCGGTCCCGCGTTCCTGGATAAAGATAAGAATATCTCTCTCCGGATTGCAGTTTTCCAAGGAAACCCGAATGCGCTCGCAAGACTAAGATTGAAAATAGTGAGTACCTCAAGATTGCGCGCGTGATTTAATCAAACATTCACCTCATCATCAGCCACGCATACAGTAGACACGAGATTTGTATAATTCCACAAGGATATCTTCAAATAATCAATTCGTTCCTCTTCCAAATCTTGAAATTTCTGAACGTTATCCGGAAGTGGAATTAATCAAGTAGACAGAATACACAATGGTGAGGAAATCTCGTTAAAATATGCAAAGACGGTACATGCGTAAATGATATTTACATCACACGACAACCTCCAGTCATAATTCCACATTTCAGTCGCATCAGCCAACGTTTTGACCATCTGCATGTATTCTTGATCTTTGCAAGCGTGCCAAATTAGGGATATGTAGTTTATCAAATAGCAATTCAAGTAAAAATCCTTACCAGCAGCCTTAGCCGATATCTGAGCTTTTTCGATCTTCAGATTAAGCTGAATTATAGAAGGAGTTAAATGTAACAATATTAAAAAAAAAAATTTGTTTCTGTCGATCACCAACTAATTATAATGACTCACATCCACGCACCTTTTCCAATTCCTTTCCTACAACCGTAGCCTTGGATGATAACAATGCCGCTATCTTGATACACTCTGCCTCATATTTTTCTTTTGCCTGTGTTTTCGCATGCAAGTACGTCAAGAAATTTGCAAATAAAGAATGCCATCTATTTATGTGATTTATATCCTACTTTTTGCATAAGTGCAGCCTGTCCTTGCTTATTTCTGAGACTTCTCTCGGCAATTGATTGTTGCTTTTTTTTCGTCATTTTAATGTATATATCATGAAAGCTTTAATTAAAGCATAACTCGCAAGTTTAATATCGCCACAGGAAAATAAGGCTTACTGATTTCCTTTTCTCTTTTTGTTTGATCATAAAATTTGACAGTTCTTGCTCGAGCTCTAGTTTCATTTTATGAGAAAGGTTCATATGATCTTTCGCATTTTCTTCCAATTCTAATCTCGCTACTTCCAGGGCTTCTCTTAGTATACTTTTTATATGTGCATGGAGATTGGTTATCGCATGATAAATAACGAGAAAACTAGCCATCAATCAGCACTGAAAAAGCTACCCAGTTTCATCTTTCCCTAGAGGAATCTTTGAAAGCTTTGATAATCGTTTCGCATATTCTTCTTCGATAAGTGCTCTGCAAATTGTCAGTGGTTAGTAGAGAATGGCTCGTTGAATGAATTTCAAAGAACATTCAAACCTTTCATGGTACATAGCCTTAATTTCTTCGCATGTTCGCTTTGCTTGTTTTAGACGTTCAATGAGAACTTCGTACCCGACTTCGTCTTTACCCTAACATGCATGAAATGAAGCACACTTTACCACTAGACCTTATAACAATCGGATAAATATAATTCGAATAATTGGAATTCAGTTTTTCTATTACTAGTTCAACGATTAGGAATGCGCTTACCCAAAAATTATTGGCAAATATTTCGGGTCCGTATTCCATGGTCGCACTTTGAATTTCGGACATACTTTTTTAAAAGAAAGAAATTTTTTTTCACGAGTGGCAAATAAATATAATGAATTTATGACAGGAGAAAGATGGTTTACAAAAGACGTGACTATTTATTTATTTGTGCGCTAGGGGGTTTCAACCAATGAGATATAATTCAAGGGACCTTTTCATACTCCTGATTTGGAAACTGACCATTATGCGTAGTAGATAGAAACAAAATTTGTCAAATTTAGGAAGAATCTTCAGGTAATGAGGGCATATACTGTATATAAAGTTGTTCTTTCCTATTCTACAAAAACCTTGTTACACCGCCGTAATAATTTATGATTTCTAATTTTCTAGAATTTCCTTGCATATCAATTAGTATTTACTATTACAAATGCAAATGCAAAACTTTATACGATCCTTGCCATATGCAATTGCCTCTAAATGTTTACTATAATTATTAAGATTTCAACTTTATTTTTGAATAAATTAGATACTATGACAACTACTAGAAAATCATAAATTAATAATAGATAATCCATAAAATAGTTAATGACGTGTTGGTCATATAATAAAAGTGTGAGTGATGACGGTTGATTTACTTAAAAACATGAATCAATAACATTGAATCAATTCAAGAATTAAGCGGGCGGCTGCGAACGGTGATGGAACTTGGGAATTTGGTATTAAGTAATCTAAAGCAGTGGTATGAACTTCGCGCAGAACAATAATTTGATTTGGAGTTTTTAAATTCTCGTTGAAAACTTCCAAAGCAATATTAACCAAGTCTGGGTGGGCTACCCAGGTACCATCATGACCAGCTTTGACCTCGCGCAATTTGTCGAGACAAACTTTCTCAAAAGCGCTTCATTAGCCTCGAGATCATTCTTCATAGGAATCTGAGCAGCCATACCACGCATGGCGTGAACTACACGACGATGACAGGTTTTAATGAGCAAACGTACATAAGCGTCCATGAAGGGGAGGACATGGTAACATCAACACGGTCGGGAAGTACGAAATTAGGATTCTTACGAAATTTCTTAATTACAGAGAATATATAATCCCATCGTCCACAGTTGAGACCAGCGGAATGCTCACGAAGTTCATAAATAATTTCATTCATTTCAAACGCGGCCAAGATAGTTTCGATCAAGACGGTGGCGCGAATAGTACCACTAGGAATGCCCAGCAGATCTTGAGCGACATTTAATATGTCATTCCACAATCTAAACGGACAATTAATATTTGTGAACATCAAAAAATACGATCTTGATTCACTCGTTACTGGGTAGATACACTTCCTAATGGGACTCATCTTAGGCAAGTAGAAATACGGCCCGATGCCATTTTCAATCAACTTCTTGGCATTGTGAAAGAATTACAAGGCAAATCAAAGATGGAAGCCGAAGCAGGAACGCCATCTACTAAGACATGTTTCTCCTCCAAATGCCATCCGCGGAGGCTAATTTGATTGATTGAGATTGGGGTTTTTTCAGAATTGAAGTACGCTTTACATACAATCGGCATCGGGACGCATAGCATAGAAATACAGTATATAGTCCTTCGGACAAATAATAATGATGTTTTTTTTAATCCACAATCATGTCGTAATGGCGTGTCTTTATTGAGATATCAAAAGCATCTATAATATTACATAAATGTACTTTCACATGACAATGAATTCATATTTGATTAAAGAATTACAATACTTAAATAATATGAGAAGTTCACTAAGCTAATTTGGACTAAACAAAACAAATCTTAACTAGGTACTCTAAATCAAATTTAACAGACAATATTTCACTACTTGATACTAGGACTTCTATTTATTAGGATTATCAACAACAGTTTGTCACTATAGATTATCTCAAAAAACAATGAATTGTTGAATTAATCTATTGAGAAAGAGAAAAAAAAAGAAAAGAAAGAATTATTCAAAGTTCTTCAAAAGTTCTTATTCAAGTAAACAATTTTTTTTAAAAAGGGATTTGTCTGATTGTAATATTTTCTAGTTTCAGATCATTTGAGAAATTTAACTATTTCTGAATAAAAAAATTTCAAGAAGAATGTTTAAAAAACTTATCTTTCTATTGGTATATGGATTTAATTATAATATTATGGATGCTAACATTATATTATAGCAGAATTTACTTGACTGGAATAAAGAAGTCTCTTTAAAAACTTTGCTTGATCAAAATAAAAGTTTGAAAATCTTAGATTTCTTTTTAAAAAAATTCTTTTTTTTTTTAACTCATAGTCAGATCAATATGGCTTGTCTTTATTATATATATAACAGATATTTATAAATTGGTTTGACTTTCATATACTAACTCACCCATTGTTGAAAAGCTATTTCTCTAAATACAATTTAAGGAATGATATTTTGCTCCTTTACTGACTTGGATAAATTCTTTATCTAATAAAATTATTACCTACAGATCATTACTATAGATTATCTAAATTCCAACTGCAATTAAAAACCAAACCATTTCTTTCTATAACAAATTCAATTTTTGATGATTTATATGTACTTCATTCCCTCCTTTCTTTCAAAGACTTCCTGTCTCAGATTTTTTGCAAATATAGATTTTTTTTTCTGTTCTTGTATGATCTATATTATAGATCTATACTTAAATTCTTTGATTCTTTTGTTCTTTTCAATAATATTCTGTTTCTTTTCCCACTCTATTACTTTTTTGCAATGGCTATTTTATATATCCTTCTTGAAATTTTTTCTTATTTTATAACAAAGCTTACCGGTTATATTCTGTATGACTATCAGAAAATTTTGAATTATATTTTGAAATAATTCTTCAAGAAAGTAATTTTGTTCTCTTCCATATATCCATAAATAGTATTAAAAAGACTTTTATCAAACACTAAATCTCATTTAACTATTTACTTGTCTAGTCATTACTTGTAGAATAAATTTCTTCTTTGTTTTTAATTTCTTTATTGATATAGTAGTTGATCTTTTTCTTTGCTTTTCTCTATATATCTTCTTTGATTTCTTTAGTGACTGAACATTTAAACAATCTTTTTATTATTTAAAAAATTTATTAAAAGAGAAAAATATTATATTTATATTCTTTTTTATTTTTTGATATTATAATTGTCTTTGTCTTTCTTGAGAAACTTTTTTTTTTTTAACCCTGATCATGTCACGATAGCTTGTCTTTATTGAAAAATTGAAATAAATTTATAATATTTTACAGATTTTTACAAAGTGACTAATTCATCTTTATATAAAAGTACTTTAAGTCAGATTTTGGAGACAATATTATACTCCCCTAATAGATTGATAATAATTTCTATCTACCAGGATCATTGCTAACAGTTTGTCACTATTGATTACTCAAAAACTAATAAATTACTAAGTTAAAAAGAAGAAGAGGAAAAATAATTGGTGAAAGGGACAATTCAAGATCCACCAAAAAAATTCAAAAATAAAAACAACCTCTTCTCAAAAGAAATATGCCTGATTGGGATAGTCTTCTTGCTTTACTTGAATCTTAGAAGAAATCTTCTTTTTCATCACCTGCAGCATCGAAGGAGTTAATCCAATTAATCTTTTATTTAAATAAGTATCAGATTGGGATATCTCAAGGAAAGTATTTAGACCTCAGCTTTTTTCTATTAAAGCTTTGTCACTACTTAAGAAACTTAAATAAGAGATGGGTGTTTGCAATTCACATTACCTATCACTTGATCTTTTGATATCATGGAAGTTTTTATTAAGGAACTTGAGCTTTTTGAAAGTAAACATTTCTAAAACCTTCTTTCCAATCACCAATAACATTATCAAAACATGTGGCTATAATCAATAGGAGCTTGTTTATATTCAAAAGACTAACGTGCTTCATATCAGTCAATCACTTTTGATGAGAATTTGTGCTACTCAAAATTCTGAATCAAACTGAAATAGGCAAAATTTTCCAGAAAACTATGAAAGCGATAGCTTTAAGAGACCCACAAGTGACTGGAAGAAGAAAAATAAGTCCTTCTATTATCAAAAACCTCTATATACCTCTC